GCCTTTAAAAACATATGAGACGCAGTGAAAAGGAATAAACCTCCACAAATTCATGACGTGTTTTCTGAAAGTTTAAACTGTTTTAACTTTGCATGGCTTTCTATACGTCTCTTGTTGGAGATGCGAGTGCAGCAGTCATATTTGTCCGTCTAAAAAATGCGCTGAGTTTGCGTTCTGTGTGAATGGCTTGGTTTCAGTTTTAACCCATTCAAGATCTTCTCCGCATTGAGCTTCTATATTTCTCTAATATTTTGAATGAATAACGCAGCAGCGGCGTGTCTCGTGGGCTAGACTAACAAAACATTAAAATGCAACAACGTCACTTACATCATTACCTCATCACGCGCGCCACTGATGAAGCTCCCTGATGCACTCCTAACATTCAAATGCAAATGTTTATTTTAAATTCGACTAATATTCATTCTTTACGCACTCATTTCAGCATGTGTTCGTGTTTGTGTGTGCTGTCTGCGTCACTCATAGCACGTGCCTATAACGTGCGCTATATTGAACATTTTTTTCTATCGTTATCGAAGAGGGTGTACCGTCGATAAATATCGATACCGTTTTACCGCCCAGGCCTACTTTAAACCATCCCTTCTTGACAAAATACGAGTCGTGTATATAGTAGAACTGTTTTGAACTGTTTTCGCTTGTAAACGCTGCTTGATCTGTGCATATTTCTCTGATAAATATCGATACCGCTTTATCGCCCAGGCCTAATGGAACATGATCTTTACAATAATTTTGACCCATACAATGTATTTTTGGCTATTGCTACAAATATACCCCAGCGACTGCTTTTGTGCTCCAGGGTCACATATATTAAAGGTGACGTATGATGAAAATCTGACTTTTCCAGGTTGTAAGTGCTATAATCATGTCCCCTGTGCATCTACCAACCAAGGAAACGTGAAAACGTGCGCTATATCGAAAAAATTTTATATCGTTATCGAACAAGGTGTACCGTCGATAAATATCGATACCGCTTTATCGCCCAGGCCTAATGGAACATGATCTTTACAATAATTTTGACCCATACAATGTATTTTTGGCTATTGCTACAAATATACCCCAGCGACTGCTTTTGTGCTCCAGGGTCACATATATGAAAATGTGTAGCATTACATTATTTTCATTTAACACATTTTTTTCCCAAATTCTCATTACTGTATTTTATCGTTTTCATGCACGTGACTATGAGAAAGGCGTGGATCATCTGACGAATGCGATCGCTGTGTGCGGTCAGCCGCAGCAGCTCCTGCAGGTCCTGCAGCAAACGCTTCCTCCTCCAGTCTTCCAGATGCTCCTCACTAAACTGCCCACCATCAGCCAGGTGACACACGTTTACTTGAGCGACTGAACTGCGCATATATCATCCGCTCCGTATTAATGCAACGAATGCACTAGCAGTCAAAAGCTTTTGAACAGTCAGATTTTTTAATTTGAAGAAACATTTTTTATTATTATTATCAATATTTAAAGCACTTGAGTACATTTTTTTCAGGATTCTTTGATGAATAGAAAGATCCAAAGATCAGCATAGCAAGGATGCTTTAAATTGATCAAAAGGGATGATAAAGACATTTATAATGTTACATAAGATTTCTATTTCAGATAAATGCTGTTCTTTTTTTTACTTTCTATTCATCAAAGAATCCTGGAAAAACTCTACTCAGCTGTTTTCAACATAATAATAATAATAAATGTTTTTTTTAGCAGCAAATCAGCATATTAGAATGATTTCTGAAGGATTTTCTGATCAAATAAATGCAGGCTTGGTGAACAGAAGAGACTTATTTAAAAAAAACTTTAAAAATCTTACTCATCTCAAACTTCTGACTGGTAGTGCATGTGTTTTATTATTATTTAAATGTCTTCTAAATTCCCAAATGCTTCTCTCTTCTCATGCAGCGTATCGTGAGCGCTCAGAGCATCAGTGACGACGACATCGAGTAGAAGACCTCCAGCAGCTCTGTGACATCACTTCCTGTCTGCTTCGCATCAGTCAATCGCTCTGTCCCGCCCCTTTCCATCCAGTTCTCAAACACTGAACGCACTTATTCGGACTTAAAGAAGCGTTTGGGATCAAACGTCATAGAGTTTTGTTTTGAATCTGAGCTTCTGAGTTTGTCCTGTTGAAGTTGACGTGAGTTTTAGTGTATTTTAATGACAGAAAACAAACCAGATTCGGACTTAAAGAAGCGTTTGGGATCAAACGTCATAGTGTTTTGTTTTGAATCTGAGCTTCTGAGTTTGTCCTGTTGAAGTTGACGTGAGTTTTAGTGTATTTTAATGACAGAAAACAAACCGAACAAGGCATTTTGGGTTCACAAAATCATGAAACATGCAAGCCGTAATTAAACATGTCACCGCAGAGGCTCATAGATGGGATCTTTACAGTGTCCTTCGTCTCTCATTGACTAATGTTAAAAAGCAAGCCGATTGAAGAAGGACGTGCTGCTGTGTTCATGTTTTTAAGTTGTTTTTAAAGGCTGCGAGACGTCTAATGTGGTATTGTGGGATATGAAGCATGTTTAAAGGTGCTCCGTTTCAAGTAGGGGAGTTTTCTCTTTTTTAAAATCCAAAATAAATTTAAAAAAATCAATGTTACATTGTGTCAGAGCCATTCATAATTTGCTGCTCTTAGATGTTTGTGATACACAATTGCAATTTGCTCTCATGTTGTTCAAATATAGTCATATGGTCAAGTTTCATCTTTGGGTATCGTGAACTCATTAAGCATTTATTTACAGCATTTTATTAATCTAACTTTATATTAATACATTTAATGTCGTTCATTCATTCATGTTTGTACATTACATTCATTAATGCAACTTAAAATGTGTTCATATATGTAGAAACGACTATTAACTTTGATTAATAAACGTTTGCTCATGATATCTAATGCATTAACTCATGTTAACATTATTGGAAAGATGAACATTAGGTGACCTTGAAAAATTAAAGCTACTTATATAACTTTTTTGTTCCGCATAATTAACCAAATTTACATAACGAGCGAGTACATCATAAAACCATCTTTAAAAACCGAGTTTCTGCTTCATGCTAAATCACTATGGTAAGCCTATAATAATAATTACTTGTATTTTACAGCTGTCGGGACGGATTTCGCGGGAAACCGTCACATCCATGAATACAGGAAAGAAGTTCAAGCTACTACAAAGCCACAACAAACAAAATGTGAAAACGACACACGCGTAATAAAACACGAATCAACATAGTTTCATAGAATCACACTGACTAGTTTCACAAAACAATGCTACTCTCTAAACCATGTCTGTTGGCCGAGTTATAGTTTCCATCGTTATCTGATATAGCAATCGTTGTTTAATGTCAATGCTGCCAAATTTGTGTAACCTTATTTTAAAACAACTGATATCAAGTGAGAAAAACAGCATCCTATAAGCTCTTACCTGCTCATGGGACGTATTTTTCGGATATCCGTCTCTTTTTCGTTTCATTTTGAGGTCGTTAGTGAAATTGGGATCATCTGTAATCATGATCAAACATCAGATTCATCCGCGGAGCCGAAGCACAACTCACGTGACGACCAAACAATCTCCCTCCGCGAGTTACATGTAGTTTTATGTTTAAACCGCTAGAGGGACAAAAGTAACGTACCGTTCTTCGGTCACTTTAGACCGAAAAATTTTACGTTTTGAAATTTTACAAATCGTAGCTTTATTGGAATGGTATGAAATCTGGTGACGTTTATGGCACTTGGTATGTGAACACACAAAAATAGTGAGGGCATGATTCGAACATGCTAAATGGTCTAAAAAAATAGTCACATTCATGGTGTTTACATAAAGCATTATTATTGAATGAATTGCATTTCTTTATTAAATTCTGAATCAAAAAATGGGTAACAAAATACTTCCTTGCGTTCTCTTTCTAACAAAATAATTGACTGTAATCATAATGCAAAAACTAACACTTCAAATCACAATTTCTAACAAAACAAAAAAATCTAAAACTTGACAAAAAGTAGTCTTTGAGATTTTTTAAATATATATTAAAATATTCCAACTAATATATGAACATTTGGTTTCTTTTTCTTGTGCTTAAATCTCTTTTTCAGTCCTCTGCCTCTTTTGGCAGTAGGATCTGCCGTCTCTCCTCTGAACAACGAAGCTTGTGTTTGTTTCTTGCCAGGATTCATCATAAAGTTCTGTCCTCTCGTCTTATTTCTGAACTTCTGCTTCGGCTCTCCTCCTCCTCTTCCTCTCTGTCGGTCACGAGGAGTTTTCTGTTCTTTTTCCTTCTTCACAGATCGTTTCACCCTGATGTTTCGCTCTAGTCATTTGGATGCGTTGCAAATCACAATTTCTAACAAAACAAAAAAATCTAAAACTTGACAAAAAGTAGTCTTTGAGATTTTTTAAATATATATTAAAATCTTCCACCTAATAAAAATGTGTAATCGTGTCTAAAAAGTGGTTACACCATGACATTACACATTTTTACTTTTTTTTTTTTATTACCAGATGGCGCTAATCTGCTTTCCAAAATTAAAAAAAATAAAAATAAAAAAATTGAAACATATGTAAAAATATTTTTTTATTGTTTTCAATGGGGGAAAATGGATAATAATTATTGCATAAATATTAACTAGTACCATAAAATTCTCTCAAAATGCAAAATATAAAAGACAAAATATTATTGAACAAAAATATATTACATTGATTTTACTGAAGAAAATAAAAAAAGTTACATTTCGGGTGTCCATGAGTGTGGTTCACAAATAAGCACCGCATAAGTATTAAATAGATCTTCTAGGTTGTTATACTTTTTTTTTTTTTTAAAAAGACAGAAACACCAATGTGTTTAATCACATTTTTACTTGTGACATAAGAACACCAAAGTTGTAAAAATATAAGCACAAGCATTAAATATGAACATTTGGTTTCTTTTTCTTGTGCTTAAATCTCTTTTTCAGTCCTCTGCCTCTTTTGGCAGTAGGATCTGCCGTCTCTCCTCTGAACAACGAAGCTTGTGTTTGTTTCTTGCCAGGATTCATCATAAAGTTCTGTCCTCTCGTCTTATTTCTGAACTCCTGCTTCGGCTCTCCTCCTCCTCCTCTTCCTCTCTGTCGGTCACGAGGAGTTTTCTGTTCTTTTTCCTTCTTCACAGGAACAACTTTAAAGATGATTTTCTCAATATTTAGATTTTTTTGCACCCTCAGATTCCAGATTTTCAAATATTGTCCGATCCTAACAAACCATACATCAATGGAAAGATTATTCATTCAGCTTTCAGCTGATGCATAAATCTCAATTTCAGAAAATTGATCCTTATGACTGGTTTTGTGCTCCAGGGTCACAAATAGTTCTACTTCATGAATAAAACGAACCAGATGATTTACAATATTACAAAAGTCTGAAAAGCATCTATGGAGGAAATTAACATGACTTTTATTTCAAGAACTGCTCTATTAACCCTATAAAACCTGACATGCTAAATAACAAAAAAGTAAATCAGCATGTGTTTATTGATGACTATTATTTTTGCTCCATCAGGCTTTTATGGCTTATATAGTCTGATAAAGTGAGAATATGAAGGAAAAATCAGCTCAATGTTATTCAAAAATGTGCAATTTTGTACAAATGCTGATATTAATCTGATGAAATTCTGATGCTTGTTCTGTAAATCAGTGAGATCTTTATAACGGTACAGCAGATGCTGACATAAAATGATCTAAATATCACTCTATATCTGCAGTAATATGTCTCAGTGAGATGAAACTGAAATGCTCCAAACATATAATGCAGTGATTGAGAGCTGAAGAAATAAAGGCTCCTCAGAAGATGTGAGATGTTCTGGAGGCTTGTGAAGATCATTCCTCCGCTGAGGAACAGTGAAAGTAAAGCTTCTGGAAACAAACGCTCCTCAAAAGATCCTGAGGATCAGATTTGAGACTCTAAAACATGATTGATGGAGAATCAAGTAAAGCTGAGCTGCTTCAGTCCAGTAAGTGTTCATCTGGAGATATTACTGCAGTTATTCTGACCTTTACTTGATCAAAATCAGTCAAGATTTGACTCGTGAAGCTCGAGCTGAAGCTGGACGTTTGTACCCTGTATAGGGTTAATATTTTTTAATATGACTTAATATACATCCCAGAATCTCTGTCTCGCACCAAACGCACCGCCTCCACATTCCCACAGTCCTCGAAGTGTTCGCGCACCGGAGGCTCCATCACATCTGCCATAGAAAACAAACAAAGGGTTCATAAGAGGAACTGCGGCGTCACAGAAGAGATTTCAGAACACTGTTACTCACCATACGGTAAATTTCCCACAAATACCGACCTTTTATGATCGAGCTGTGGAAGAAAATGATTGAGGATGATATAAACCCATTTCAAATCAGCTGAATTATACTCACTCCAGTGTGCCGAGAGACACGGTCCACTCGGATATGAAACCCCAGCTGAATCTCCTGCCCATTCCTGCACAAATTCAAATGCTTTTCACAATATATTTGAGTTTGATTCAAACTGAATAAACAGCTGATAAAAACATCACATTATAAACTGGAGAGTTCCGGTGCTTGATTCTGATTGGCTGAGCCACGTTCGAAACTCGCTCTACAAAGTAACACACACCTTTGTTTACGTTTGTGTGTTGCTCGGCAACCACTTTGTAGCAACCACAACTGTTTCTGAGGAGCTACATTGTTTGGTGGAAGAATACTGAGTCCATAATCCATAATAACACTTCCTCCAGTGAAACTTAAAAAACGTCTTAATGCTGGATGTGTTTCAGCTTTTGTCTTCTCCAGATGTTAACTGATGGACTGGAGTGCTGTGGATTACTTGTGGATTA